GTCACGATTTGAGGCGGTTTGAGTATATCACGATTACATCCCACCATTTGAGAAAATTAGTGACAAGCGGTTCTGAAGAAAACGTGATGGTAGGAGTTACAAATGGTAGTTATTAGTCAGTCAGCCACTATGAAAGAAATGGGTAGTTACGAGCAGAGTTCAAACGGTTGAGAACCGCCCAAGAAGTATAAAAGGAAGAGGAAAGCAATGAAGAAAGTCGGACAAAATTCACTCTCAAATAGAGAATATGTAATTTACTTTTTCTTAGATTAATTTTAATTACTTCAATCTCATTGTACTTGTGTGCTTGCGCTACTTGGAGGCATCTTGTTCGTATCTAAATAGTAATCTTCATATTAGATAAACACCCATTTTTGGGATTTTGTTTCAAGATGTTTGTCCTTTACACAATCGTCTGATTCTCTTTTNTCGATTCCCCTATACTTGTGTGCTTGCGCCTTTTGGAGGTATCTTGTCCACGTCCAAGCTTGTAATCTTCGTATTCAATAAACACCCCTTTTTGGGACTTTGTTCCAAGAGGTTTGTCCCTTACACAATCGTCTAATCCTCTTTTAATTGTTAGCGAGTAACTGCGCGAAACAAATACAAAAAGTAGGGAGAGAAATCTAAATATCAGTTAAAATGTTTTGTAAACACTTTGGAAGCTCAAGGAAAATGTTCTTTTAAAAAAAACCAAATTGCAAAGAGTATGGTCTTTAAAAAGTATCACATCAGGCCAATTTCTAATGCAGAACACAACGGGACAAAAAATAGCTAACCATGCTAAAAGGTGAAAAAATATTGAAGACAACACCAGAAAGCAAATGCCAACGACCTTGACACCCAACCTAAATATATTACTGCCTGCAGCATCATTTCTTAGAATGTATCTTTTTTGAATATACTACATGTACAATCCAATTTGACAATATTTGTTGACTATTCACATTTGGCAACAACGTATTCATCCTTTCAAAATAAATCAATGGCTCGAATTTTGACAGTACCAACATTGTCAATCATTATTGTCAAGTATGATCGTACAAATAGCATAATTGATCTTTTTTAATATAAAACTTTAATTCACATTTAACAAAACGAAAAATATAAGCTAACATCTGAATATTAGACTTAGAAATTCTTATAAGCTGATTATATATATAGGCCGCACAGATGTCTACTAAAAAAATTGAAAACTAAAGAGTGCTATGACGTATGATTCTCTTAACTAAAAAAAATGACACGACGTGTCATTTAAAGCTTGTTTGATGCACATTTTGGAAGTAAGAATGTATTTTTACTTAAGGAATATATGGTTGAAACATAAGGAAAAATTATTGATGTGATGAAAAATATTATTTTATTGAAGAACGTATGGTTGAAAATTAATAGAAGAATGAGAATGAGAAAAATAATGTGGTTCAAACATGGGTTTAATAATAAATAACAAATTCTATAATATAAAGCTTCAAAATGAAATGGGTATTGGTGTGTTTGATTGACAATATTTTGGAAGAATGTATTCTGAAAAAGTAGATTGATGGAAAATTTATTGTTGAAAAAGAAGGAAAAGTTATTGATGTGATGAAAAATATTATTTTATTGAAAAATGTGTGGTTGAAAATGAGTAGAAGAATGAGAATAAAAATTTTAATGTGTACCAAACAGGGCCTAAGTTTTAGACAATGTAATTCAAAAGGAGAATATCTACAAAAAAGGAAAAAAAATAAAAAAAATCTTTAGTTTTGTCCTCGCTATACGTCTGTGATAATTATAGAGACCTTTCACCTATTTTTAAAATTTCAGAAACTTCGTTGGAGTTTACTTTTGGAATTCACTCCTGTTAACGTTCATTTTACCAATCTATATTGCTTTGAAATTTTTATATATTATATTTAAATTTTATTTTTCTTCTTAACATTTATTTAGATACACTTTTTCATACTTTTGTTTTGATTTAATGAAATTTGATTTTTCTTTTTTGCAAATGTGGTGACAAATAATTAACACGTAGTGCAACAAATTTTTAAATTGTAGAATAAGTAAAATTGTGATTTATGAAATTTTAGAAAACAAA